ATCTCCTGACCTCGTGATCCGCCCATCTCGGCCTCCCAAAGTGCTGGGATTACAGGCTTGAGCCACCGCGCCCGGCCAGAGATGGGGTTTCACCATGTTGACCAGGCTAGTCTCCAACTCTTGACCTCAAATGATCGACCTGCCTCAGCCTCCCATAGTGCTGGGATTACAGGCATGAGCCACTGTGCCAACTCCAACTCTTAAAACACAAAATTTAAAAACAAATATTTATGCAACTCTTGTTGCTTTTAAACTAAACTGCCCGTGTCACACATGGGAAATGGAGGCTCTGAAAGGGGAAAGAATTTTGCTGGGGTCCCAAATGAAAGGGGCAGAATCTGGACCAGAACCCAGGACACCTACCCCCAGGCCTCCTCCCACTACACCAGCTGCTTCTCAAGCCCCGAGTGGCCCTTCAGTTGAATCCAGTCCACACGACAGCCACTGCCTTCAGCTAGAGTTTATTGAGAGTCCCCTTGGGCAGGCCTGGGGGATAGAGGAAGCCCCACAAGCACCATGGCCCCTCCGTGGCCCGTGGCCCGTGGCCGGAGCCAGAGTTGTCTCATCAGCACCAAGGAGAGGGCCAGGCCGGGCATGGAGGACTCCCTGGGAGTTTGTGTTGGTGGAACTTGGGGGAGGCAGGGCTGAAAAAGGACCTATGGCAGGTAAACCGTGGCGACCAAGAGTTCCCCCACCCCCTGCCCCCAGAAACCAAGGCCCCTGTGCCAGAGTCCACCTGCCTGCCTCGTGGGCCCCACCCCACACCAGGGACAGCTCTTCTTCGACTCTGCTCTGTTGACCCAAGTAGCTACCATTCCCATTTCTCTCATTGACCCCAGGGAAAGCCAGAGGGAGGTGGGCAAGGGGCTGGGTTTATCCCCATCAGTTGTTCCCTTCTAGGTCTAAGGACCCCCCAGGATCGAGGTAAACCAGTCCTGAGGCTGAAAAAGAAACTGCCGCCTGCCCCTTTTGCCCCCAGGAGAGGCAGTGCAGCAGCTTGGGAGCTGGGAGGGTCCCTGAGAGATGGGGTCCCCACCCAGGAGCCAGAACAGGGGGTTGGGGAACCAGAGTCAGGCTGTGGGAGGCCAGGCTGGGGCTGAAGAGGGGGAGGCAAATGGAAAGAGAACAATGGGAAGAAAGAGCCTTTCCTGACACACAGCCAGAGAGGCCAGGGGGCGGGATAGCCGGGGGTCGTAGCAACAGAACGTATCACTTAACTGACCAGGTACTGGGTGCTGGGCCCACATTATCTTAATTCTCAAGACAACCCTGCAAGATAGGCATCATTTCTCTATCTTACAGATGGGATAACCGAGACTCGGAGAGATTAAGTAACTCGTGTCCGGCCCCAGAGCTCATAGGTGGTAGGGCAGAGGCCCACATGTGTGCCTGCCTGCCTCCCAGGTGCAGCTGCTGCCACATATATACCAGGGTGGGGGGACTGGCAGGTCCAAAAACCCTCCAGCAAATCATTCTCAGGGTTAAAGATCTAAGGCAGCACATCTCAGACTGTAACGGGCACGTGATTCACCTGGGATCTTGGTAACATGCAGTTTTGACTCAGCAGGTCTGGGCAGGGGCAGAAATGTGCATTTTTCACAAACGCCCAAAGGTGATGGCAATGCTAATTGTCCATGGACTACACTGTGAGTAGCGACGGGTTCAGCCCAGCATTAATCCATGCCTGCAGGTGGGGGCATTCCCTGCTGTCCAGCCTGACAGAATGGGCAAAAGCCATGATTGTTTACACCCTAACCTGGACCAAGAGGTCCTTCTTCCCAACATCCGGAGTCCTCCAGCCCATCCTCTGCACACACAAGTTACACTCGACGGTGGAGCATCCTTCAGAACACGGTATCTGAGTCAGCTATGATCCCTGCAGGTAAGGGGCCTGGAGATGGCAGCAGGGGCCGGCTCTGCGCACCCCCCTGGAGCTCAGAGGGCTCCTCGGAGACTTGCAGCCTCCTGGTCTTAGCCAAGAGCTGGCCCAAGGCCTCAGGGTCTGGATTCTGCTCAGTCCAGCTCCCCACTGGCCAGCCCCAAGCCCGGGTCAGTTCGTGGGGGTGCCGAGTGGATGCAGCCGCAACTTGGGCTCTGCGGGGTCGATGTTGAAGAAGTTGACAGCAGCAGCAGCCCTGGTGGGCAGCGGGGGGTCCCGGGTGGCCTCACCAGGAAGCAGCAGCTGGGCCGTGAGCTGCAGGCCTGAGGAGCCGCCCGAGCCTGCGTCTGAGTCCGAGTCTGAGTCCGGCGGCAGGGGCAGCGGCAGTACCTGCTGTAGACTAAGGCCGGGCCGGGGGCCACTGTGAGAGGTGCGCAGTGATGGTGAGGCCAGGCTGGCCTGCCGCTCCCAAGGACAGCGTGGACATGGCAGGAACCTGCCCAGCGCCCGCTTGAAGTCCCGCATGAAGAGTGGGTAGATGATGGGGTTCATGGTGCTGTTACAGTAACCCAGCCACGTGAGGGCATCGAAGAGGCCTGGGGAGATGCAGTCGCACACGGCCTGAGGGGAGGGGATGCGTCATGCCTGGTCCCAGGGCAGGGACCCAGGCCACCCTTCCCAGCATGGATGGAGCAGACACACACACGCACCACGAGAGGCAGCCTGCCCTCCCCTGTCCCCATGCCTGGACTGGGATCCAGGACCTCTCATGCAAGGGCCGGACTCACCTGCCCCTGCCGTGGCATTACCTGGACTATATTGGCCACAAAGAAGGGCAACCAGGTCACAAAGAACATGCCCAGCAGGATGCCCAGCGTCAGGCTGGCCTTCAGGGCCTTCCTGCTGTGCTTCGTAGCTAGACGCCTGCTGTCAGCAGACTCCACCCCTGGGCGTGGGGTCCTGGGCACCTGCGGAAAGGAAGGCCACACGAGTCAGTTGAGAAAGGGCCCCCATCTGACCCTGATCCTAGCCACAGACTGAGCTTCAATCCTGATTCTAGACTGAGCCCTAGTGCCAGGATTAAATTGAGCCCTGTTCCTTGACGGAGTCCCAGCTAGAGTCCTAGACCGAGCCCTGACCCTGACTCCAGGCCAAGCCCTGACATCAGCAATAAACTAAGCCCTGACCTTGGTCCCCAGCTGAAGCCTGACACCTACCATAAAGCCCTACATAACCAAGTTCTCAAACCAAGCCTCAACCGTGGACCTAGACTGAGCCCTGATCCTGATCCCACACTGAGCCCTGACCCTGACCCAGAATTTCATAAGGAGCTCTAGGAAGTGCAATGAGACAGAAGAATACCTGAAACACAAATCAGATGGTTCAGAACAACCATCCCTGCAAAGACAATATATGACACAGGCCAACACACACATTACAATGAGCCCAGCACCTTCCAAAGCCTTTAGTGCTACAGAAATCAATTGCAATTGACTGGGCGCAGTGGCTCATGCCTATAATCCCAGCACTTTGGGAGACCGAGGCAGGCAGATCACTTGAGGTCAGGAGTTTGAGACCAGCCTGGCCAACCGGGTGAAACCTTGCCTCTACTAAAAATACAAAAATTAGCCAGGCATGGTGGCAGGCACCTGTAATCTCAGCTACTCAGGAGGCTGAGGCAGGAGAATTGCTTGAACCCGGGAGGCAGAGGTTGCAATGAACCAAGGTCGTATCACTGCACTCCAAGCCTGGGTGACAGAGCGAGACTCCATCACACTCACACACACACACATATCAATTGCAGTTGAACAGTACTTGAAAAAGAGGACCTATTACTGTCCAGAGCTTGGCAATTGCTTTGTATGTGGATTCTCTTCATATTTGGGAGCAATAGTCTTGCCTGGGCAATTACTCTTGAGCCCCACAAAATAGAAAGGCTTTTTTGAGAATGTGTGCACAAAGCCAATAAGTTTGCAGCTAAATCTCTTGTTAGGTTCCTAAGGATGCTGGTGACCTTGGCATTTTACAACTCAATTATACTGAGAACTGGCAGGCATCTCCATTCTCAAAAGTGGACAGGAAGAGGATGAGGGGGTAGGAAGAAGGAGGAGAAATAAGCTACTTCCCAGCAGCTACTGAAAGGAAGGCATGGGCCCGAGGAGGTTAGAATTTGACTTTGCAAACTGGCCCCCACAGTCCCAACGGGCTCTCTGAGCTGGATGATTCTTCAGCTCAGCAGTGCTCTTCACTTGTTAAACTTCATGTGCCCTTTGAAAAGCTAACAAAATCTACACACACACACACACACAAAAAAAACACCTCTCCCCAGAAAATAAAAGACATAAATTTTTATACACACACACAGACAAGAAAACAACATTCCACACTTTCAGAAGGTTCAGAGATGACCTTGAAGTCTCTAGGTTTCCACCAGAAACCCCAAGGAGTCCATGAAAGCTGGGATGTGAAACCCTCCTCTAAAATGTGTGTTTTTGTAATCAATGTGGATTTTCATATATTAGATTTACACAAAATGAGGCCCACCTCTATTTACTATTTAATGCCCGTGGGCAGTGGTGTGCACAATTCATCATGAGCTACGCAAAGGGTGTGCGTGCTGTCTGGGAACACATCTGGGCTTTGACAGCCGGGGGTTTTCCTGGCACTAGGATTTGCGCAGTTCCTAAATTGCACGAGAGCCCTGCTTAGTTCTCGAGGCCAGAGGTGGGTCGGATGCGGGGAGATGAGAAGGTCAGAAGGAGGCAGGAGCGGAGCTAGATTCCCAGGCAGCCTTCCACAGATGGAAAGGCGGAGGAGGCAAAGCCAAGATGTGTCAACTCCAGGGAGCTCCAAAGTCAACACCCCACCCCATTCTGCTGCGCATGCCCTCTCCTCCAGCCCCGCTCTTTCTAGGCCTCCAGAGTTGGTGTCTTGTCCATGGTGCTGAAACCCCAACTACATGCGGTCTTTTCATAGGAGCTGGAATTCTAATTCTGAAATGGCAAGGAGGTCGCTGGGGCAGGGAGACGAAGCACATTGTAATCCCCATCCCTCAACATGTTTCTTCGCGTGAAAACTGATTGTACAAATATCAAGGTTATACAAATTCACAACAGAGGCCTTGGTTTCTCCCTTCTGTCTTGGTGTTGTACAGAGGCAAAAGCTGGGCTTTTAAGACAGGTGATCTGGCTTCAAATCATGCCTCTACCACTTACTCGCTCTGTGATCTTGAGAGAGCCTCTGTTTCCACATCTGTAAAATGGGAGAAATGATACTCAGCTTACGACATCACTGTGAAGCTATGGATAATAAATGCATGCACAGTGTCTGACGTTGAGTAGGTGCTAAATACCTGGTAGCCATGTTACTGTTTCAGTGTTGCGAGATTAGGGTGATTTTGAGCACTGTTGGGGACCCTGTCCTTCTGCCAGCAGCTCTGGCCTCCCCAAAGCAGCACAGACGCCAAGACAAATGCTCTGACTCACCATGCTGCAGCTCAGATGCCATGGTGAGAGGATGCTCTCCTCCGCCTCCACCCCATGATACACAAGTCTGCTCCAAAGTCATTCCAAGTTAGCGAGGGAGCAAAAGAGGGTTTTACTCTCCTCCCTCCTCTTCTAGTTTTCTCTCCTCCAGAGTGGACTCTATATGGCTTTTGTGACCACACCATGGTCAGCCTGGAGGAAGAGGCTCCTGCTTCCGCCAAAGAATCTCCTAAGACCTGCCACACCTTCAAATTGCTGCCATCAATGGGAATAGACGGCATGGAGAAGGAGGAGACACTGTCTCATCCAGGCATCGCTCCGACCCTTAATGACCTGGGGAGGGCAGGGGACAGGAGGCAGCCTTGATCTTATCAGAGCTCTAGGGCATGGGGGAAACTGAGGCACTAGGGGGAATATCTCAGGTCAATCACTGTGAGAAGGAGCTCCAGAGAATGGGGTGAAGATGAACTCAGATTCCCTTTCTAGTCTCCCTGGGAACAAATCCAGATTTTTCTTTCTCCTCTGCTTTCCGGAGAGTTGACTCAAGAACACAGGCAAGAGGAAAGAGAGAAGGAAACTGAGACTCAGAAAGGGTAGAGGACACTCTACCCTTCCCAAGGTCACACTGTGCCAGCACAAGGCCTCCTAACAAAACCTGAATGGCCCCAAATCAGCATTATCATCTCCATTTCTCGACCACTTACTACACATCGGCATTTGATAGTCATTAGGTTGTTCAGTCTTTATGAGAGATAGGCATTGACATCCCCATTTTGCAGATGAGACCACTGAGGCTCCGAGAGGCAAAATGACTTGCCAGAAGTCACACAGCAGGTAAGAGTTGAGTTGGGGAATCTGTCATTTCTGGCCCCAGGAACTCCACTCTGCCCACTTCACCAAGCTGCTTCCACCTTTGGAGATGGCATCCATGGGCCCAGTCAGGGTGGGGTTACAGAAACCCCACCACTGTCACCAAGAGGCCCTCATGGAGCAGAAGTCAATGGCAGTCACCAGTCCACACCACGGCATCTGACTGATGCCAGCATCACTCTTCCGGATTCTCTCTCCCCTGTAACCACCTCACAGCCCCTTGGGGCCATGTCCTGTCGTTTGCATCTCCCGTCTGTATCAATGTCAGAGGGCAGCTGCCTGAAGGACAATCCAGGGCCCTTCCAGTCAACAATCCCACGTACAGCTTCCAGCCAACACCTACATTCATGTCTGCACACTTGATATATCCAAGAATGTGTCTCACAGCACTACTCGTGATAGGAAAAAAATTGGAAACAGCCTTAATGTCCATCAAAAGAACAGTGGTTTAGACTGGGCACAGTGGCTCATGCCTATAATCCCAGCACTTTGGGAGGCCAAGGTGGGCAGATCACTTGAGGTCAGTAGTTCAAGACCAGCCTGCAAGACCTAGAAGGACATATCGTAAATTGATGCATGTCCTTGGGAGTAAAAGGTGATTAGCTGGAATTTGGGGGTCTTTTCCTTCATCCCTATTGTTGAATTTTTAAAGTGTGTTTATGTATTCCTTTATGCAGTTAACTTTATTTATTTATTTGTTTATTTTATGTATTTTGAGACAGAGTCTCACTCTTGTTGCCCAGGCTGGAGTGCAATGGCGCAATCTCAGGTCACCACAACCTCTGCCTCCTGGGTTCAAGTGATTCTCCTGCCTCAGCCTCCTGAGAAGCTGGGACTACAGGTGTGCACCACCACGCCCGGCTAATTTTGTACCTTAGTAGAGATGGGGTTTCTCCATGTTGGTCTCAAACTCCCGACCTCAGGTGATCCGCCCACCTTGGCCTCCCAAAGTGCTGGGATCACAGGCGTGAGCCACCACGCCCAGCCCACAATTAAATTTTTTTACCATCGTCTGATCATACTGTGAGAGTTATAAGACAGACTCTGGAGCCAGACTGCCTGGTTTCAAATTCTGGCTCTGTTACAACCTAGCAGAGTGACCTTAAGCAAGCTATGCTTCCACTTTCTGTTCTGTAAAATGGCATTATGACAGCATCTGCCTCATAGGATTATAATAAGGATAAAATAAAATAATACACAGAAAGTTAGAACAGTGCCGGCACATGGGAAGCCCCATAGAAGTGTTAGCTATTGTCGTTATTATTGGTCTCTGGCTCAGCTGTTTGATAACGGTGGTGATGGTGCTGGTAACAACAGTGATGTTTTTCCCTAGAAAGGGTCAAAGTGGTGAGCTCCCCAGAAACATATATTTTACCAACAACAGGAAAAGAGAGGCAGGAACAACTGTTGTTGTTGTTTTAAAGATGGGGTCTTGGCCGGGCACGGTGGCTCAAGCCTGTAATCCCAGCACTTTGGGAGGCCGAGATGGGTGGATCACGAGGTCAGGAGATCGAGACCATCCTGGCTAACATAGTGAAACCCCGTCTCTACTAAAAAAATACAAAAAACTAGCCAGGCGAGGTGGCGGGCACCTGTAGTCCCAGCTACTCGGG